TTTATTTATTTATTTAAAAAAGTCTTAAAAAAAAAAAATCATGGTTTCTAACTGTCATGTGATACAGAAGACTGGAGTAATGATGCTGAAAATGCAGCTTTGTTATTACAGGAATACATTACATTTCAAAATGTATTCAAATAGAAAAGAGTTTTTTTTTTTTTTTTGGTTGTAATATTTCACAGTTTTACTGTATTTTTTGTCAAATAAATGCAGCCTTGGTAAGCAAAAATCTTACTGTCTGTAAACCTTTGATCGGTAATGTAGATGTTTACTTACGTGGTATTATGCAACAAATTGCCCAATTCAAAACATGAGCTTCTTCATGAACCACACATGCTGTGCAACCATTGTGTGGGCAGTTGTGATTTTTCAAACATGATTGAATGTCAGGCTTTTTTATTTAATAACCATTTGTGGAGTTGGTCAAGCACTAATTGATTAGGTTTTAGTTTGAAGTCACACCTGAAATACTCCTACTTTTACAGTAGCGTAAGAGCCGCCTCAGTCCACTTCACACGCTATTGTATTATTTACTCCGTCAGAACTGCGCTCCGGTGTTTTTCAACAGATTTAGAGGAGACTGTCAGCCATCTACAAACCTCACCGCACCTCTGCACTCTGTGCACCTTTCAAGTTCCCACAAAGCAATCTCAGGTAGCACTCCATCCCGCTCCATTCAACTCCTTCGGTCCCGCGGCCGCCACTAATACCACAGTACAAAGAGTCTCCGGAGAGAGGCGATAAGGAGAGATTTGAGGTGCCGTTCACATCTGGCCTCATTTCTCGTACACAGCGGCTGTTATTTATCGACTTTAATTACCCCATTAATAAGGGAATATACATTGTTGGAGAAATGGTAATCTTCTAAAAGCACTCACCTTCCAAAAATAGAGAGCCTGTGCTGTTTAATTACAGGATGGGGAACGAGTAAATATGTTATTTGTGAATTAATATGGTTTGTAAGATGAAACGAGAGCGTAGGATTTGTTTGGACCGTGTGGTTGTTATTAGTTTGCCCTAGATGGCAGGGAAACACACAACTACACACAGAGCCCAAGGTTTCTGACTGGAACACAACACTCACTCAAAGTACAATTGTGTTGAACATTTTTGGCTTGTTTTGCCTCTTACGGAGTAAAAATGAAAAATGCTTTTTGTTTTTTGTCTCGCAGGAGTCTTTTCGTTTCTACGCAGACAAACTGAAGAAGCAGCGGTTGGAATCCCTGGGGCCGGCCGACGACTAAAAACACCTTCCTTCATTTTTTTTTTTTTATATACAGCAGATGTGCACAGCTTGTGTGTTATACTGTAATTGTTTGTTTTTGCCCTTCATAATGATGTCATGATATAGTTAACGTGTACATAAATATTTATGCAAATAAATGTAAACCCAAAACTTTAGTGGCTCTTTCGTTAGTTTCTTTTTTTTTTATCTTTTCTTTTGTTTGTTCATTACATGAGTGTCCCACAATGAGTTGTTTTCAACAAATGGAAATATTCATTTAAGAAGCATTAAATGACAACATGGATTATTTGTGAAAAGCTCAGTAAAGTTTTTTACCATTTCATTACCCGTAATCTTAGTTATGTAGTAATATATACAGTGCTGTATAATAAACATCTCATTGGAACAATCATGGATCAGCTGACATGCATCCTGCTTTCAATTTTTCTTCTTCTTTGAAACATACATTTATCAGGATTTAGCACAAGTGCAAAAAACGTACATTATCTAGCTTTTAAAACAAATGCATGATTTACAAAACCTTTCAAAAGATTTTTGATATAGCCTTATCGGCACACGCTTTGAGCGGTGAAATCTTCTACATACTTGAATAAATAAACATTCAGACTGGAACAAAGAAAAGCTGTTTATGGATATTTACCAAAGCTCTGCTCTAATCTCTTGCCAAATTGAACAAAAGTGTGGAAGGAAACGAACAGAACATCGCTGCCATCCAGTGGCAGTGAACTGAAGTCTGAAGAGATCTCGCTGTGACCGTCAGAGGACCAGCTCTTCTGTCCTGGTGTCTCTACTAGTGTAGGTTTGACCTCTGACCTCTCTCGTGACAGTATTGTCGTAGCAAACGTCATTGAATAGGCTACCAGTAATACATTGGAGCATGTTAAAAAAAATAACATTTAGATATCAAACCACTAAGTAAAAGTTGTGAAGCACTCTGTGTATTCCAACATTTTTGATTCCAGGTACATTCACAGATGCATTTACCTTGAATAAAATACATACACTACAGTTCAAAAGTTTGGAGTCTGTAGGCTATTATTATATTAAAAAAATTTTTTTTTGAAAAAAAGACTATTATGCTCACCAAGGCTGCATTTATTTGATCAAAAATACAGTGAGAACTGTAATAAAATATGTAACAATATTACTATATAAAAGAACTATTTTTTGTTTCAATCTATTTTAAAATATTTTAAAATTGCACTGGTTGCCAGTTGCCGCTCGCATCAAATTCAAGTCACTGACTTTTGCCTACAGGACAACCACTGGCTCTGCTCCCTCCTACCTAAACTCATTACAGACTTACGTGCCATCCAGAAACTTGCGCTCTGCAAGTGAACACCGTCTTGTGGTGCCATCTCAAAGAGGTGCAGAATCTCTTTCTCTGACCTTTTTCTGGTCTGTTCCATGCTGGTGGAATCCAGAGCTGCTGAGTCCGTGGCCATTTTCAAGAAACGGCTGAAGACGCATCTTTTTTTGCAACACTTGATCCATTAATACTCACTTTATCTTCTATTCTATATCTATTATCTTTATAAAAAAAATGAAAAAATTGTATAATAACTGATAAAAGCGTCTGCTAAATGAATAAATGTAAATGTAATGTATTCCTAAAATGGCAAAGCTGAATTTTCAGCATCATTACTCCAGTCTTCAGTCACATAATCTTTCAGAAATCACTCTAACATGTGGATTTGCTGTTTTAAGAAACATTATCAAAACATTTTTTTTCAGGATTCTTTGATGAATGAAAGTAAAAACACAAATTATTATAAATAAAATGTGTACTGATGCCAAACTTTTGATCTGTAGTGTAGGCTATATTGTGACACTTTTTTTGTTTTGTTTTTTTGCAAATGAAAGGTTACAGACATTTATTGTGTTACTTGCTCGTATCACATTTTTGTGAATTTTCTATTATATACTATTACGTTATGTAACATTTCTGCATGTCTTAGTGTTTTTTTTGTGTGTTATTGCAGTGGAGCTCATTCTCCCGCAGTTTTCTGTCTCAAAGGGAGGTGGACGGCTGTTTTCTCCTCGGTCAGGAGGAAGCTCAGAAGAGTTGGAGAACACCAGAGGATTTGTTCAAGCCAAATGCAGATGGCTGAGTAAAAGCTGAGATGCCTTAGAGAGGGATGACATCTTCCAAGAGCTCTTAGCAAGCTCACTAGCATCATTACATTTTAAAATGATATATAAGTGATGATATCAAAACAGTTTGGAATTATACTTCAAGTGGACCTACCATTTTTGTCTTCACAGAAAGTCACACTGAAGTCTTATACAAGCATGGCCCGTTTCAGTTTCCTCCATTTTAACAAACATTATTGTTGATAGTTTTCCCTGTCATATTCTTCTAAGACTTTAAATTTCATGTGCCGACACAAGAGCTACTGTATAACAGTTGTTTTGCTGTTCATCTGTTTCAGACTTTGCTGCTCGTGCGTCATATTTATAACCATCAATGGAGCAAAGCAACGTTGATCACTAGATTTGATCCATGCCTGGTCATAAAAAAAACCTTTTTACAGATCTCAAGTTAGCATAGACCCTACCAATTCTTACAATCGTACATTTATATATACTAAATACACAATTCATCTCCATATGTGGCAAAAATAGACTTCCATACACAAATATGGGGATGAGTGAAAGTCACGTGACTGAAACAGATGAGCAAGTCTAATAAAATATCTTCATTTTACAGAAACATTTGGCTCACAGTCAGACAATTTTAGAGAGAACTGGGTTGCACTTTATTTGACATGTATGTGCATTTATGTGTACTTAATGTACCTACAGAAAGTACTGAGTAATATAAGATAACAACATGGGTTAAGATTAGGTTCAGGGTTAGTAGTTATTATTACCCAGTTATTGTAATTACTATAGTACATAAGGAACAGGACTGTAAAATAAAGTGCTACCAATATTACTTATACAGAGACATCCAGATGTTGTGTACGACTGGAATATTTCCAGTATAAATTTGTCCTTAGACATTAGGTTGTATATTTAATTGTTAAATTCAAGTAATGTTTGAAACATCAAATCAGTAGTTTTTCTTTTTTCTTTCTCTTGCAGTTGTAGTTATGTATCTCTCTGTTCAACATCATGCCGCATTAAATCACAGCAGACATGTGGAATCAGACACAAATACATTCCGAGTAGCAAATTCTTAGGCCTAAATCTTAGCATAGATCTGTATGTTGCACCAGTGCATTTGGGTTTCTAAAACTTTCAAAGCTCTTGTAGTAGTATACTGTGACAAATCCACATTGTGACATGTTACAGTAAATCTGTTGAAAGGTATCTTCCAAACATGATGTCTAGTGGTTTATCAAAAAAGTTAATAATTACGTAAACTTAAAAGAGTGAAGGAAAAACATAGTATGTTACTGCCATCCAGCGGCAGTTAGTGGTAGTACAATGAAACTCAATATTAGTTGACGTAGTTTCAGCCTCAATCACCCAGTCATCTCAGAAGCCTTCAAACTGAAAACCAGAGATTGTTCTGTTGTGATTGAAATGCATCAGTACACTGAATAAAATGTCTGTAAAGAGTTAAATAATGAGATTCCATACTTTGAATCTTCAACATATTTGGCATAACATATTCATTTTGGTGAGAGCTATATTTTGACTTGACAGAGTTGTTTTTATAAAATCTGTGGTTATAAGACCGGTTTCTTGGCAGGAATAAGCTGCAAATGTGGACCAGATTTTATGCTGATTTGATCTGTCCTCCTCACCAGTCCTGACTGGATTTCTGTTTAATGAATCGGAGTGACAGATAATAGAGCAGTATAAAAACTAAAGCAACAGCAATAAGCACCAGGTAGCAGGAATACAGTGGATACTGGTTCATGTTCATCATCTCCACAATCTGAAAACAAAGCGTAACATTTTAATGTAATGGTATCCATTAATATAAACCATAATTGTTCAGTAAGGTCAGATTACTCACCTTAATACCATCAAATTCTACAGTATAGTTTCCAATAGAGATTGGAAGTCTGGTCCCACGGAACTGAATCTGCAGCATTCCCTCAAAACCCCATCGCATGAAGGATATGTAAGAAAACCAAGACGCCACTGTTGGTAATAAAAATCCATATTAATTCAAGGAATACTCGCAGATTTGTAGCTAGTGCCAATTCTGTTAACTCAGTGATGTTTTTTACCCAGCCACATGTTTTCCAGACTAATGACAAAGCCAGCAGTCAAGTAGAAGACAGTGAAGAGAGCGTTGCCCATGAAAGATGAGGTCTGCAATGTTGGCAGGGCTGCCGCCACAAATAGGGCCATGCAGCGACTGCAATACACCATCAGCCACACCAACAGGAAGCTGAGAAGGAAGCGGTCGGGGGCGCTGTTGAGCCCAGCCAACCAGTAGATGGGCACACCGTATACCAGTGTAAAGGCACAGTGCTCTGGCAGCTCACCAAGGACCTGAAAGAGACACTGGCGCTTGAAATATCTAATTTAACGTCAAGAGCTGACAAAGTCCACCGGCCAAACAGGAGCTAATATTCAACTGGTGACCTTTCCCTGTCATGTCACTCACTTCTGTTTGAACTGTTATGTAGCTCAGATGTAGCTCAGAGTTTCTACTTCTAACTGTGTTATTAGAAACATATATTAATAAATAGAATGGTTAAAGTCTAATAAAGTCGCCATGAAATCAAAATTAATTTTTTTTTTTTTTTTAAAGAATGTTGCAGTGTTTATTATAAATTATTTATCTGTGCAACTCCCCCTCCATACGACATCAGTTCTCTTCATGATGTGTCTCAGCGGAGGGTGGAACTAAATATCCTCCACATCTAACTGCAAACTGGCATTGAGATCTGCCTCCATTTAGTTAACAACACCCAGCTCCCTTCCTACGATCCAATCAATTCCTGACGGAAGAAAGCAAGTCCCACCCTTCATTTTTTCCTCATTCCAGAAGCAGTTTCACTTAGATATAAGTCACAATAGGGAAAAAAAGACTATCGCAACTACCAACTTTAAATTCAAAAGACTGGTACATGACATACAAATCTGTAAAAAAAAAAATGTATATATGATCAATAAGTCATGACATGTTTTTACATTACTTTAACTCATCAAAATAAGATTAGCAATTGTCAACTTTTTTTCTTACAAGAAACAACTAATTTTTAAAGTCAGTTTTTTAAGTTATATTAATGCCCTGATAGAACTTATACAAGTCGATTGACCGTAAAAATTTAAGGCCGCGATTTTTGCAATTCCCACAATTGATTTAATAAGCCAGAAGTTAATATAGAGCAACTTATATTTTTGACATAAAAATGCCCGTTTTTTAAGTACTTCAACTTATTTATTTCAGTTAGCTTTTTTAGTTTAAGTTTTTATCTAATATTTATATTTTATTTCAGCTTTAATTACTGAAAACAATTTGTAATAATTTTAGTTAACGATAACAACACTGATGTTTAGTCCTTCAATGAATCAGTGTGTTTGAACGTATGGGTTGAGTGAATAATTCAAATGACTCACTCAGAAAGACAGTCACTTGTCACCACAACCTACTGGTATAATGATGTAACTCGTGGGAAGAATCCCCACTACTACTAATTAATAAACTGTCAGTCTGTCTGGAACGCATAAACACAGAAAAGCAGAATGATATAAATAGTAATCGTCGCATGGCTAATCATATTCGAGGGCCAGATCTAGCTGTTGTATATTATTAATTACACTGCGGATTGTTATATCGTGCATCTATTGTAATACAGTTTTCAAAACCCAAGCAAAAAAACTGATCAACACTTTTGAATCTGTAACTGCAAGTTCATGAAAAGTTCTACAAAAAATATAATCCTATATCTGTCTAGCATTTACATTACAACAATGTAAAATTTGTATATTATATGTAAAAAAGTGATTTCATTGTGATGCTTTGCTATGTACCAAAGGTCTATACATAGACACCACTGTCATTTCTGAAGCTCTTACATAATGCAGTTTATTTACCTTGGCAAAAAAGTATGAGGTGACTGAATACATGCCATCTTCCAGTTCATGATAAAGCATGGCTCTTTCCGAATGACCTGTAAAAAACAAAATATTACACCACTGGACTTCAGGAGACACCCAAAAAACAACAACATTTAATTTACCTACACTTTGCGATGACGTCCAGCACAACAGCAAAGGGTGTCAGAGCTCCTATCATGTAGAGCAAAGCCACAGTATCTTGGATAGAAAGACCCTCATCCCCAGCTCCGAAGTAAAGGAAACCGATGAGCAGTGACATCAGCAAGGCTTCCAAACCATGAACCACCAGCGTCACCAGGTCCCGGTAGTTGTTAAATACCTGCCGCCTATAAAAAAGACAGGGAAACAGCTTTCAGGAGACACTTTGAGCTAAACATTTTTACAATAAAAAGTGTTTTCCAGTTTGTTTACCTGATTAGGATTGTGAACTGTTGCACTTTTCCCGGCAGGCGATCCCTCGGTTTGGAAACTGTGATCACTGATTCCTTATTCAAAACATGAGGAACACTGCTGGTGTAGAAATTGTATTATCAGCTTCTGTGCTTTTCATTTTCATTGATGTATGTGAGGTTATTAAATGCTTGTCATGAAAGCTTCAGTATGAAAGAAGCAATATGAATATCAACATTTACCTTTGAGGGGTGTCCAATGCTGAAGGACCACAGTCTTCTGATTTCCACATGAAATCCTCTGTGTTCTTTACCTTCTCTACAAACTGGGCTGCTAACGTCCTGGCTTTCTCCAAACATTGTGCTTCTTTTTCAGGACTGCGCCTATCAATGCTTATCAAGTCCACTGCAAGAGAAGTTCGCAGTTCAGATACAACAACCAAACCACATGATCAACTAAAGACATTGGTTCTTCTTTCCACTCACCGTAGTAGTCAGAGGGGTTGCAGTACCTTGGACACGGGTACCCAAGAGCAGTGAAATAAGGTACCAAATCTTTGGCCTGGCCGCAGTACACAGCTGAACCAGAAGACAGGAGCACCACCAGGTCAAAGAGCTGAAAGATATCTGAACGAGGCTGATGGACTGACAGCAACACCAGGCGGTTCCCTCGAGCCAGACGGTACAATGTAATGACCAAATTATGGGCCGTGAAGCTGTCCAGACCTGAAGTAGGTTCATCTAGGATGAGAATACCTGAAAAAACATAAAATATAACTAAAGTCACGATTCTGACCAGTATTATTTTAGTATAATTGAGATACTATCATGTTTTTATTTACTTTTAACTATTTTTTTTATATTATATAAAAAAATAATCATATTTAATTTTAGTCAAAGTTTTAGCTAATTCTATTTTGTCATTTTTATTGTTTTTTTTTTTCTATATCTAGTTTTTATTTTAGCAGCCTACATCAAGTTAAACTAAATGAAAATGAGTAATGCTGTCTTGGCAACTAGCTGCAATAAAATAAGTTTAGGATTTTCATATTTGACTTTAATTCAGCGTATTGTATTTCAAGTAGGCCTACGTTTTTTTACGTTTAACGTGTTTTAGTTTAATCTGCATGGTGTTTGCAACCAGTAAGCTACTTTTAGAAATGAGTTAGTTTAGCTTTTTTATAGTATTTTTAGTCTTTAATACTTTATGGTCTTCGGGTTTATAAGACTTTAGAAATAAAAAATGTACAAATCCTTTTGTACAAACAATCTGGCGAGTCAGAATAGTTCAACCGATTCGTTCAAACACACTCCAGACGCGACGGTTGCTTTGACTGTTTGGCGAAGCAAATATAGACAACAACTTAAATGTAAGTTACTTGATACTAACTTCTTGTTTATTTAACTGTTGCATAAAAGTAAAATCACGCCCATAATCGCACGTAAATCTTCGCCTCTTTTTCTAGACCCAAATCACAGATAGGCCTATATTCAAAGCAGCGCCACCTTTTGATTTTTAACGGGAAACTGAAGGCGAGGCAGTCAGGGGAAGACATCTCTTTGGGTTGGGTTGTACTGTGCTATTATTTATTTTATGTGTTTTTGGATTGTTCTGCTGATGAAACACTGCAAAAATACCTTTACAAGAAATTTCAGGTGACAAAAATTGCAGGCAACATGAACAGTGGCCTCGCAGCTTTCTTTCCTGTCATGGCGCTGCTCTGAATAAGGTCTATTCGGAACAACATCACTACTCCTGATATTGCTTTATTTCGAAGTCAAAACATTGTAAACATAATGTGCATGAATCATCAACAATAATATTTAGAACATGCTTTATTTAAATAAATACCATTCTTGAAGCTCAAATCGTTGAGCATGGCACTAGCAAGTTAGCAACGCTATGGTCATGGGTTTGATTAATGAACTGATAAAATGTGTAGTTATAAGTCACCTAGGGTAAAACCTTCTGCTAAATGCATTAATGTAAATAGGGTCACATTTGATTTCCTGTTGACTTAAAGCGTGTTTTCATTTCATACATGTTGGTTTGTAAAAGACTCACCTGGATTCCAGAGTAGCTGTACAGCGATGCTGACCCTCCTCCTCTCGCCACCTGACACTCCCCGCACATACTCATTCCCCACGCGTGTGTGGGCACACTGCCTCAGACGCAGCTCTGCGATGACCTCATCCACCTGTAAAGGTCAAACACCCCACACACCCAACAGGTGAGGGGATGCTGACAGTTAATCACGTATAACCTTTGGGTGATTATGTTAGCATTTACTGTATGCTCTCAGTTGCTCACCCGCTGATCTCTCTGTTTCTGTGTGAAGTGCGCAGGCAGCCGCAGTTTCGCCACAAAGGCCAGCGTCTCTCGTACTGTGAGATGCGGTAACAAGCGGTCATCCTGCCGCACATGAGCAATGCTTTTCTTCACCAGGGAACGTGTGGAAGGTTTCCCATTGATCAGAATCTCTCCTGATTTCATGGAGCCACCCTCATCTCGACATGTTATGATGTCCAGTAAGGAGGTCTTCCCACAGCCTGCAACAAACACTTTGTTTCTTTCTGGCTTTTTATGATGGTTTTATTCACTAAAAGTGCACTGTTGAAGAACTCTGCACATATAAAGTTTGACGTACCCGAGCTGCCAATGACAGCAAGCATCTGGCCACTGTGCACACGTAGATTTAGATCATTTATAACCGTCTGCTTGTTGCTGTGCATTTCCCAGGGCATCTTAAACTCTGACAGCCTCTCATACCAGGGTATCTGTGCTGCTGTGTCCACCTGTATGCAAATATAAATGAAATTATTTGGGCCCTTAAAATGTTTGAATGTTATTGTATTAGATTTGGGGTCTTCAAACTTTTTTAGGCAGAGGACCTCTTAGTGGACAGAAAGATGGTGCAGGGAGCCCATTATGTATAAAGCGGAATTATATACATTACTGAATTATAACTAAGGTATAAATCCTATAATTAATAAACTTAATACATTGTAATGTGGTATGACACATTTGGCTTCTTATCGTTGACTTTGTTAAAATATTGTATGTGGTTGATGTAAGAACTTAATATTGCTTTTTTTTTCTTTTTTTTTACAATTTACTTTTCAATAATTGCTAGACCCCATGTTAAATCAAGCAAAGTGGCATCAACAAAGTGGCTACTAACTTCAGTTTCTGATTCGGACCCATTCTTCGGCCTTCTGCATTTTTAGTGGATAAAGAGTAACCATTACAGAAACTATGAACATTAACACTAATATTTGAAAACCAGAAAATTATACTTTTTTTTCTTTGTCATTTCTAACAATTTATCATCAATGTGTTGTACAATGCATTAAAAAGTGTTTTTTGCCACTTAATTTGATATTTTATACATCTACAATTTAAAGGTTAAGGGTCACTAAGATAAATAAAATAAATTAATGTTTTTATTAAGGACGCATTAAACTGTTCAAAAGTAACAATTTATAAAGTGACAAATGATTTCAAATACATGCTGTTCTTTTAAAATTTCCATTCATCAAAGAATCCTGAAAAAATGTATCAGGTTTCGTTTCCACAAAAATATTAAATAGCACACCTGTTTTCAACATTATTAATAAGAAGAAATATGTCTTGCTCCGATTCAGCTCTGCCATCACAGGAATAAATTACATTTTAAAATATATTCAAATAGGAAACAGTTATTTTACTGTGTAATAATATTTCACAATATTACTGTTGTTTCTGTATTTTTGAACAAATAAATGTAGTCTTGGTGAGCAAAAGAGATTTCTTAAAAAAAAAAAAAAAATCTACTGACCAAGTAGTGAATGCAGTATATATAAATTGCCCATCATACATTTTAAATAACTTATATGTCCAAATTTCTTTTTTGGGCCCACTGCATGTTTGTATTTCTACTTAAAAAATGGATGAAGGCAAGTCAACCTTCTTTCAATATCTTAGTACTTTAGCAGAAGAAAACAGGAAGAAAAGTGTAATTTGAGGAGTAATTTGTTGTAAATGTAAATAAGACTGAAAAGATTTCTAACCTCATAGTTCAGATTGCGGACTTCTATTTCATTGCGACCTCCGCTGTAAGTAAAATACAGACTGCTGTCCTCCTCTGGAGATGAGAAAAGAGTGTCTCGACCCTGTGTGTGTTGAAACATGCAGTTGATGCACAGTGCAGATGCCTGTCACTTATATATTTGATTATCATTCATTTACATTTAAACACAATCTATTACTCTTGGTTCTTTGTGTCAGTACTTTTGGTTTAAAGTTTATCGGGTTTAATTAAGATTCCGCATTTTTTTTATCAGATCTACCAAATGCCAGCAGATAAGAGAACTGGACTGAGTCGTCTGCATGGTTCAGGGTCCATTTATGCAATAGAGCCATTTTTATAGAATCACACTCAATGAACTTGACTAAATAAAGCAATAGCATGGAAATAATCCTATACTCTTGTTATGAATGTGAATACAACACTTATAAAATGTGAACATCTTCCTCTGGATATAGGTTAACTTTTATGTAGCGACTGCTTGTATATTCATAGTTCATTATGAACTCACCCTGCTCTGTCTCTTGTCTCTAGAGCTGAAGCTGTCTCCTGAATGGAAAGCACTCTGGTCTGACATGGTGAAAAGGGGTCTGTGCCCCTCTGGTCTGGTGTCCTGCTTAGAGAAGTACCTGCTTCTCTTCTTGTCCTGGAGAAAACTGAGAAGTGGCAGAGAAAAGCTGCTCTAAATAGCAAATGGAGCAAAGTTCCACTGATAAGAGTCACTGTTTATGGTTCCAGCTTAATCAGTGAAATACAAGCTGGAGAGTTCAGACAGCTGAAGTCGTGGACCTGACTGTCACACTGATATTCAGGCTAGTTTGACCGTTGATGAGAGAAAATGAGTCAATCTTATTCAATGCAGGACATTTTCCAGAAGAATGAGTTGAATGGATCTTTTAAGGTGGTGTCAGAGATGAGAACGGCCCGTCCAAACCCAGACTACGCAGATCCGTCATGCTGCATGAGCGTCAAAAATGTGTCCTATACTGTGAGGTAGGAATATCTCGTTGATATGATATGAAACCAGTGAAATCGATGATTGTCTTAAACTCACAGTCTATGCAAGTTAGCATTGAATCTTCAACCATAATTTAGGACCGGGTTAATGGTAAAACTGTTTATTTTAGTTTTATTTCTGAATTTGCTCCAGTCCAGTTGTTAACCCACCACTGCACCTGACACATGTACTGTATATTAACCATCATCAATTTTAATGAATGATAAGTTCTCAAGATCATGTCAAATGTCAATGTTTTAGAACTTTTAAACTTTAGCTTTTTAATACTCAAATAACTTTACAGAAACATTATTTTGTAACCCCTCCTTTAGAACTTGAAACCTTAAAAGGATCTCAATATTATTTAATATTAGTTATTACTAAAATGCTTAAAAATGTTTTTTGCATGATAGATAATACACAATACATATTGCTTGATAATTTTGTTAATTCAGTTAATTCATAAAAATAGTGCATAACAGGAACATATTTTCTGATGTAAAAATTTATTTTAAGATCTTTAAAAAAAGTGCTAAATACACAGATATGAGATTGTATATTTATTAATCTCAACACAATGTTAACTTAAAATTAAGCTTTTGTTAGCAAAATGTTATATTAAAATTATGCAGATGCCTAAATTAAATTTTTTTAACATTTCTTATATGTGGTTATATTATTCTGTTGATTAACATTCTGTTGATTAACCACTTACAGCACATGTTGCACATGCAGCTACCATTAAATGATCAGTGAATGAACGTTTATATGCCACAGTCACCTCTCGTCATCAGAATTTTGAATGGCAACAATTATACAACTATTAGGCTTTAGACTGTTAGTCTTTCATTGAAGTATACATATACACTCTAAAAATGCTTGCTCAGTCAGTTTAACCCAGAATGTGTTTGGTCTTGTGTTTACCCAGTGCTGTGTTTGTTCACCACCCAGACTTTGTTGTTTTTGTTAACCCATGATTTTAGAGTGCACCGTCTTCACATCTGTGTTTTTCTTTACTCATTTCCATCCTGCAATTTCAAACAAAATACTGACAAACTTAAAAGTCTTGTTCATTTCATAAATATTTTTATTTGCTGTGTTACAGTGAACATGTAGGACCCTGGTGGGACCTTTCATCTTTTAGAAAAAAATGGACAAGGCAAATACTGAATGAAGTGTCATTTCATGTGGACAGTGGGCAGATAATGGGAATTCTGGGAAACTCGGGTAAGTGACTGAAAACCTGGGAGACGAAATGACTGTGATGCTTAGAACACATTTTCATTACAGAGCCCACAATATGCTATTGTGAAATAAATACTCAGCTACAGTATGTGTTAATTTTTGTTATTTAACATGACAATGTAATGGTGAATGTGACATTTTAAGGAATGTAGATTTTCTGTTTATTTATAGGGGTTAAGTGCCACTAAACAAAAAAACCAGTGACATTAATTTTTTTTTAATAAAATCATATTCTCAGTCAGATCTTTCCAGTATCATTCACTCTATATGCATTAAGACACTAAAATGAAGCAACAGAATGAACAAGGCAACTTATTATGCAATTGTACATTACGTAAGGCTGCAAAGATAATTTCTTTGAATGTCAATGTCATATCATATCTTAAAGTTATAAACTTGTTGACCTTTTTCTCAAGGCTCTGGAAAGACCACTCTGTTAGATGCTATAGCAGGAAGAATTGGGAATTCTGGTAACCTTCTGGGAGACATTTTTGTAAATGGAAGAAAGCTAAAAACAGAGCAGTTTCAAGACTGTTTCTCTTATGTTCTTCAGGTGAGATTTGTTTAATTTAATTATGAATATAGTATTCAACATAAAACAATTTGACCACAAGTTTGTGTGTGTGTGTGTGTGTGTGTGTGTGTGTGTGCGTGTGTGCGTGCGTGCGTGCGTGCGTGCGTGTCAATGTAAATGCCACGGGCTACATGTGACTGAACTTTAGTCAACTGTTGGAGATATATATAGATAAAAAAGCGATTGACTTCTAGACTATCTAGAGGTCATGTCTGCCACAACCAAACTTAGACACATACAGTAAAGTTTGCAGTAAAGGTCATCTAGAGTGAACTCTGAATTTAGTCGTTACACATGAGTTCATTGTAATATTCTTCAGAGCTATTCATGCACATCTTCCGGAAAATGAAATAATCATGGCAAGACTGCCATTATTACAGGTGATTTTTACAGCTTAAATTTATGATGCAAGGAAGCTATAATCTAATCCAGTAATTAAATGTCTCAGGGGCTAAATGTACAGAGACTGGCTGAAAGTGAAGTTATGAAGAAAGTACTTTTCAGCATTTCAAACTTTTTTGCCAAATACTACAGTTCATTTCAGGAACCACATACCATTTAACTCTGCTTTTAACAGCACTGTAATTTTTTTTTTTTTAATAAGTGGGTAACACGTTGCAATAAGGTTCATTAGTTAATGTATTAACTAACATGACCTAACCATGAGCAATACATTTGTTACTGTATTTATTTGCTTTGTTTTTATTAACTAACATTAACAAAGATAGTTCATTGTTTGTTCATGTTAGTTCACAGTGCATTAACTAATGTTAAGATTTTAATAAAGTAAATGTTGAAATTAACATTAACAAAGATTAATAAATGCGGCATAAGTGCAGTTCATTATCAGTTCATGCATAACTAGTGAACCTTATTTGTAAAGTGTTATCAATAAGTGTTCATGCTGCATTAAAATATAAAGTTTAGTCAACCTGATATGTGAAGATGTCTTAATTGATCAAGAAGTTAAAATCAGGGATGTTACTCATGATAGCTAATTGCAGCAATGATGTTTGCATTGAACTTCAATGTACAACAATTACAGATGTAGACATGACGCACAAACTCAACATCCCTATGACTTCTTCAAAGGAATGAGCCTAATACTTAATAAATACAAGCTATAAACTCCAAATACAGATAAGAACTTAAAGCAGTGACATTTAAGAGCACTTGTCCACTCAGGAGCAAAGTTTAAAAATTGTAAAATGTTGTATATGTTGATAATGTCAGTCTTTAATACATTACTAGAATAACCTTTTAAAAAAATGCATATTATCGCTGATACACACCACTGTACATGCACACCTCATACCAGAGGTTAGCTCTTATTGGATGAACATGGGAGCCGTTTAAAGGGACAATTCACCCAAAAATTTAAATTTAATCATTTACTCACTCTCATGTCATTTGGTAATTTCTTTCTTAGAAGTTTCAGAAATTGGGATTTTTAACAGACTGATCAAGCTGCTCTTTTTTCACACTATTTTGTGCTCCATGAATGAAAAGTAATAAGGGTTCTCAACCTTTTTGACTCCAAGACTATTTTCTGTTTATTTTCAAACTTTTTATTTACAGAAATTAGGATTGGCAATATATTAAAATAATAAATAAAATACTTAAATAAAACAAAATTCTGTAATTCCAATAACTGAATGTTCTTCAGGGTTTACACTTTGTATTACTAGTAAATGTTCGTGACTTTTCTAGTTTGTGATTACAGTTTTTTTTATTGTTTTACTCACAAATACCAAATTATACGTGATAAAATATAGAGTTGTGCAGGGAAGATGTGAAAACCTGGAAGACTAATTCACCTTTTGTTACCTCGAGATTTTCTTATGGGGTTTTATAACGGGGTTTTTCAATTTACAATAAATTACACGCACTCATATCGAAAACGCAAATTTTAAAGCAGTTATGTTTATTTTTGAAAACGTACATTTATAAGTAACTAGATAAGACTGTTTGGGGTTTTGAGTCTGTGCAGTTTACATTTTTAAAACAGAATGTCAAAGTATCGTCAAGTTATTACCACAGGCTTTATTTTACTCATATATTGAAAAACCCCATTATAAAACCCCATAGGAAAACCTTGAGGAAACCAGTGGAGAATTTGTCTTGCGAGTTCTGACGTCATCCCTGCACCACTCTATTAAGGAGCTTGACAAAATTTATATAAATTTGTTTATATATATATAAATATTATATACATTATAAAAAAATTAATTACCGGTAATTAAGATTTTATTAATTTTTAGAACTTTTCCAGGTCTAGAAATCACACTTTTAAAATTTAAAAGAACTATCCCTTTATATTCACCTTAGTATTCTTTATGTGGGAATACAGCCTTATTTTGAATGCTTACATGGAATGTTTTTTCTCAATCTCTCTCTCAGAGTGACAATCTCTTGAGCTACCTGACTGTGGAGGAAACTCTGACATACACTGCTCAACTTGCTTTGAGAAAACACTCTGCTGAGGCCATACGCAAGAAAGTGAGCTCATTCCCTTCACAGATGTCAAAACACACACAACTCATTTGCCACATCATCACCACAGATAGGCAAAATACTCATTTTTTTAACAATTGTTTATATTTGGAAAAACTCACAATTGATAATTAAATTTGAATGAATAAACCTCAAATAGATATATTTTTTTGTTGAGCAGAAAGCTATGATGGAGACATTATCATTCATACATTTTTAACAACCTTATCCCACTCTGACTTGCCATAGGTAACCGCGGTCATGGCAGAGTTGAGTTTGGGACATGTGGCTCACAGTGTGATTGGAGGCCGCATTTTTCCAGGCATTTCTGGTGGAGAGAGAAGGAGGGTCTCCATTGCCAGCCAGCTTCTTAAGGACCCAAGTGAGTGCTTTGTGCTGCCCCCTGACTTGCCTGAATAAATATTAACCCATACTAGCGTAATGTTTGTTTAGGTATGATGTACAAACACTGTATAGCATGTGTTGATTTCCTCAGATGATGCAACCCTCACATGTGCTGCAGTAGCTAAATATGATTAAAGGCTAAATGTTATTTAAATGCAGAGCGACCAGGAGAGTGACCCAAAGCCCCTCAAAGGATTATTGAGGAATGGACAAATGAGTGAAAGGGACTAAAGTAGAATATTAAAAGTGGGTTATCACATTTTTTATATTAAGTCGAGGTCGATGAGGGTCCCTCTGGATCCTTTATCTGGCTCTTTGGACCTCAGGGGTCTCCTGGGACCGTGGACTACGGATTAGTTAAGGCCACTCCAACCTGAACACAAACCAGCAATTATAAGTGGCTTTCATCTGCTGCCTTCTCTAATCAAGCAGTAAATTAATTCATCAGCCAATTAATTTGGCTCTAACTTTAGACAATGGCAAATCTATTAATTGCTTTAATTACTTGAATTAATGAGACACTCAAAGTTGTCCCTTAAAAGACAGAGAGTGGACTTTGTGGAAAGTTTCTCATTAGTTTTTATTTCTTTTCCTGTTTTTTCATTTCGCGTTATGTCATGGCAGAGGTGATTCTCCTGGATGAGCCAACCACAGGACTGGACAGCATGACGGCTAATCAGATCGTGATGCTGCTGGCTGAGCTGGCCAGAAGAGATCGAATAGTCATAGTCACCATCCACCAGCCCCGTTCAGAGCTATTCAGAGTGAGTAGACTTTTTACTGTTTTAACTCTGGAAGGATGTGTGATGCAGTGGCTAATGCTCAGGGCTGATAACCAGATGTAAGAAGCAGGCCGTAGCCCATCAGAAACTTGACCTTGATCCAATGTGCCTTTGAGTTATGTGGCTTTTAGACCATGGTGCTTCTATATGCTAGTTTTCTTCTAAAAGTTGACAAAAAGGTTGTTGACTTAGCATTCACTTATAATTAGGGCTGTCAAATGATTAATCACGATTAATCACATCCAAAATAAAAGTTTTTTTTACATAATATATGTGGGTGCACTGTGTATAATTATTTTGTATATATATAAATACACACACATGCATGTATATTTAAGAAAAAAATATTATTTATATATAAAATATTTATATTTATATATAATATAAATTATATATAAATCTATATACAGTATATACATGAAAATATTTCTTAAATATATACAAGCATGTATTTATTTATATATATAAAATAATTATACACAGTGCACCCACATATATTATGTAAAAAAAACTTTTATTTTGGATGTGATTAATCACGATTAATCATTTGACAGCCCTACTTATAATACATACAATAATAATACATTCTATTTGTATTGCACCTTTTTAAACATAAAATTTGTTGTTTCACATGTATTAATATTAGATATTAACATTAAATTAATGTAAATAAATTTAAAAAAGTGAACAAAAATAAAACAGTTAAATAGTAACAAGCTACAAGAGCAAAAATAAAAGCGATAGAATTAAGATATAAGAAAAATATATAATCCAATCCAATGGCATCAGAGCTAACTGAAAACCATGACTTCATTTTTTTTTTTTTTTTTTTTTTTACTTGGAGTTTATCCAATTTCAATTGGTGAAAGGTTTCAGACGTGCGAGGCATTATGGCTAAAAGCAACTACAACTGATTTTTGTAAGATTTACAATTACATAATGCCAAATGTTGTTAACTACTACCAAAATTTGCTTTGGATAATTAATTAATTTAACCTGTTTCATGACATAAAGTGTTGAAGTTCAGTGTTATGACATTACCATTGATTGACATGTACCTGTATGGTTCATATGACAATATATCTGTATTAAATTAGTATGTTTTACATTCAGCGCAATGGTTTACATTAAAGTGACATAGTCTAGAAGATTATGCTCAATAAAATGACTGAAAGATGTATAAATGTCTACAGATCTTTAACCGAATAGCAATCATGAGCCGAGGGGAACTGGTGTTCTGTGGGCAGCCTGAAGAGATGGTGGATTTCTTCAGCAGCTGTGGATATGAGTGTCCTGAGTACTGCAACCCCTTTGATATTTTTGGTACGGCTTTAGAAGATGACCCAAGATCTGATTTTTTCTTTAGACTTGAGCTTGAATTTGAGTGAATTATACAGTTTTTAAGATGTACTGGTATTAAAAAAACATTGATCTTTACTGCTAAAAATATGGGTATCCAGTAAAGTGTTTCGCTTTTATTAAATCATCCTTTGTAATGAACAGTTGATCTGACTTCTGTGGACACACGCTGCAGCGAGAGGGAAGCCGCCACCTACAGCCGCATGCACGACATCACATCAGCCTACCAGAACTCAGAGATCTTTAAAGGCATGCTGGGAAGGATCGAGCAAAGCTGCCAAGGACTAGACAAACCCATGATCCCCTTCAAAAGCAAGGAGTCCCCCAACTGCCTGTCCAAACTGAATGTCCTCCTGAGGTAAAACAGAAGCCACGACACTGACTAAAGGCCCGTTCATACCAAGGACGATAACTATAACGATAAAGATAGTTCTAAAAATCTTTCTAAATATAAAAGAATAACAGAGTCCACACCACAACTATAACGATAATGGCACAGAGAAACGATATTGTTGAAATCACTTTCAGAATGATTCTTTCCAGCAAATGAACGATAAAAACATTGACAGCCAATCAGAATCCATTCTGCATTTAAATTAATTCATGCATTTCTCTCTTTTACACACACACACACAGGCGGACCGTACGCAATGTGTCTCGTGATAGGATGGGCATTCTCATGCGCCTCTCTCAGAATCTCATCTACGGCCTCTTTATTGCTTTTTTTCTCATGAAGCTGGGTAAGGATGTAACAAAAGGTGCCGTGCAGGACAGAATCGGTATAATCTACCAAGCTATGGGTGCATCACCATATACCGGCATGCTGAATGCTGTGGCTCTATGTAAGTATCTCATCCACAGTCAAAGTGCCTCAAAATACACGCATTATCTTGAGAGTTTGTTAGACATTTAACATTTAAGAGATTGTTAGAGTTTGTGACAGTGAGAAAAATAATTTGTGGCATTGCATTTCAACAAGGCAACAAGAACTATAATTATTAAAGATTATGCACATTTGTTTCTGATGTATCAAACAAATGAGTGCATACATAATTCTCATATATTCCTAAATCACAGATTATATGGCAGAATTGATGGTAAAGGTGATGCAGCAGTTAGACTAATTAAGCCAATGCTGTTGGGAAAAGTAATCCCTGTCCTTTATATATCAGTTTATGAGCGATAAGAGTCTCATTTTACTGTAGGTCACCGGATAAGAGAGAGAAACACACAGGAGGTGTATTGCCTCACAAATTGCTCCTGCATGTCAAAGAATATTGCTTGACCTAAAACATAGAGCTCTTGAGATAGCATATAATTTGTAACACTAGACGTGTCTGCTACTGTATTTTCACTTTTTAAGTGTGGATAACAGTCTAAGGTTTTTCTTGATTAAAAACAGTTCCTGCTTTAAGGGCCATTGCTGACCAGGAGAGTAAAGATGGCTTGTACCAGAAATGGCAGATGTTTCTGGCTTACATCATCCATATCCTGCCCTTCAGTATTATCAGTGTGTTCATCTTTACCTCTTTCCTGTATTGGTAGGTATGGGTGTGTGTTGTTAAGCTACTTGAGTTCATCAGAGCTCGGGTCAGGGTTACTAGGGTTTAAATCCAGGGGAATGTCCTCAGGATCAAATACAATTTACTGGTTTGTGGATCGTGACTGTTTCTCTGTGTGTGGTTTGGTGTTTTAGGATTGTTGGGATGAACCCAGATCCCCTGCGCTTCCTGTGTTTTTCAGCAGTGGTCATGGTGCCACACATCGTAGGTGAACTCTTAACGCTGGTCTTGTTGGGTGTCGTTCAAGACCCCAATATGGTCAACAGTGGGGTCGCTCTACTCAATATAGCTGGAATCATGGTGGGCTCTGGATTTCTAAGGTGAAGAAATGATTTTGATACTCGCTTGCCAACATGTTTGTTTTTTAGTGCTAAAGGACTACACTATTGTTCGTGATTGTTCAGCATTTTGATTTAAATCTACTCTAACCAGTTAGAAAACAGATTTGTTCTAAAAAAATGTCTTGTTTATAATTCTTTCAGGGGTTTTAAACAAATGCCTAAAGTATTCCAGTGGCTGAGTTATCTAACTTTCCAGAAGTACGGCTGTGAGCTCCTTATCGTCACTGAGTTCTATGGCCTAAACTTCACCTGCAGTAAGAAAAATCATTGTCTTCTTCAAACTTATGCATTCTCAAAATGGACCCTATGAAATGGCTTGACAAACACATTTTTTTTTTACATTTCCGGTGATAATGAATTTCCCAACAGGAAGTTGATGTGGGACAGAGGCTTGTTCCTTTAATAGTTCCTTGTAAATTAAAACAATCTTACACTACCATTTAAAAGTTTGAGGTCAGTAAGGTTTGTTAATGTTTCTAAAAAAAGTCTCTTCTGCTCATCAACCCTGCATTTATAAAAATGTAAAGAAAATACAGTAAACACAGTAATATTGTGAATTTTCTTTACAAATAACTGTTTTCTACTTCAATATATTTTTAATATAAAATACAGGAAAAACTTTAATATTGCTAAATTAGTATTTAACTATTTAGGTATATATTTGAATATATTTTAAAATGTAATTTATTCCTGTGATACAAAGCTGAATTTTCACCATCATTACTTCAGTCTTCAGTGTCACATGATCCTTCAGAAATCATTCTAACATGCTGATTTTCTGCTTCAAGAAACATAGTGATTTTATAGTGCGCATCCTTGCAGAATAAAAGAAAAAAAAGTACTGATCTCAAATCTTTGAACGGTAGTGTATATCTGCTCATTTTTGTCTGAATCAAATGGATAGACATGGATTAACTTTTTGGTTCTTGGGATTTTTAACACATATAATGAATAAGGTGTGCATATGGACATCCTCTGACTAACCGTTTGTCTCTCAGCCCCTTTAGCTGGTTTGCCAGGAGCTTGTCTGGTAGACAGTGGTAATATGATCATAGATGAGGGTTATCCTGGAGCTCTCTCACGTTACACACTAGACTTCCTCCTGCTCTATGCCTTCCTGCCTGGGCTCGTGATACTGGGCATCATCAGCTTCAAGATACGAGACCACCTCATCAAACGCTAAGCTTCTGTATGTGTTATTGTGCCTGTGAGCAAATGTGTATAAAATATCATGTTCTTTAGTTTGTACATAGGATATCTCTAGATCATATATGTTGATTATATATAAAAAAAAACTAAAGTGAAAGCTGAATCCATCTACCTTTTCCACAGTTATAGATCCATTTTCTCCACAATGTTCACCAGTATTGTGATTGGTAATGTGACTGTAAATGCTCTGTTATACATAATAAATGTTTAATAAAAAAATTTTAAAAGTTTATCCTGCTCTTTTAAAATGTATTTAGAAAGAGGTGGCATTTAATGGGTAACGCTTTACAATAAAGTTTCATTGTATTATAATGAAATAATGTATTAACCAACATGAAATAACAATGATCGATACATTTGTTACAGTATTTATTATTATTTGTTAATGCTAGTTAATACAAATCCAGTTCATTTTTGTTCATGTTAGTTCACAGCGCATTAACTAATGCTAACAGATACAACTTTTGATTTTAATAATGTATTAGTAAATTTTGAAATTAACATTATCTAAGATTAATGCTGTAGAAGTATTGTTCATTCTTATAGTTCATTATAACTAAATTAGTTAACGTATGTTATCTAATGAAACCTTATTGTAAAGTGTTACCATTTAATGTATAGTGTTTAAATTTGAAGTGCCAGCGAGTGTTGACTTATTTTAATACAAGTCATATTACTTAAGTCAAATGAACGCATGCTTTTATTTGTGGATGTTTGTTTCATGCACCAAGATCATATTGACCCCATAAAAATATTAGCTATTAGATATAACATTTTTACCCAAACATTTGAGTCCAAATTTATATAGTGCTTTTCACAATAAATAAAAATAAATGAGAATGAAAAATACGAACACTGCAGTAAAAATAGTATAAAGAAAAACTTCATTTCCCATAGTGCACTGGGTGTGTTCATCATCAAACGGTGACGTTACCCCTCGCAACGGTAATCAAGCGCCTCTTTTTTAGTCGACAGAACACTGAGGCATCAATAAAGGACTATTATCTAAACTCGCTTCTTTGATGTAGAGAAATTTAAAAACACAACTTGTGATAATGCCTAAAATAAAGTAAGTTGTCGGTTGGGTTTTTACACACATTATTTTACTCCTCGTTCAAGTTTACTTGCTAACTAACGTTAGCTAACGTTACCCAAATTAGGAAGAATGGAGCTAAATATGCATATGCTGCTATTCAGATGATTTTGTCTCGTAGTTCGGACACATTATGGGATGTTGCTGCAGCGGAGGTACGCAGCAGGGAGAACAGGACTGATGAAGAGGATGCTGAAGAGGACGCACACTTCCTCACACAGAGAACAGTCTTCTTCATGGGCAGTAAAGCAGGGGTATGCCTACAATATATCACTTTAACACTCACTTACTGTTTATGGTCTTGAGAAAGTATATATGCTAATGGTAAACAGGCTTAAAAAATAACCCTGTGAACCTTGACATAAAATAATAGTCAGGAAAATATTTTTTTCTTTAAAAAAAAAATGGAACAGTTTATTGAAACTTTAGACAAAACCTTTAATAAAAATTAAACAAAAGTTGTATCATATTTTATGCATCAGGCTTTTATGGCTCGTATACAGTTGTATGATATATATAAACAATAACAAGTTTTGGTCATGTTGATAATTTAAAGATAAAATATTTTAAAATATTTTAGCCTCTATTGTCAGAAAACAACATTTGACCTTATATTTCAGGGCAAAACAACAATATTACTGCGGTTTCTTGACAGGTAAGTGCGAGGTGTCATGTTGTACATTTGAAGTTTTTAAGAGTCTTCATGTCGCCTCAGATTTGTGTTTTTCCCTTTAAACCAGAGATGAGTCAGCTAAACCTACTCTTGCACTGGAGTACACTTTTGGTAGACGAGCAAGAGGGCATAATACGGTACGAGCTACAGTGCTGTCTTCACTTCTTTATAGGAACTGATTTCGCTTTTAATTTATATAAAAGCATCTTTGGGTCGATAAATGTCTATTTTCTCCTTCTCTGCAGCCTAAAGACATCGCTCATCTGTGGGAATTGGGAGGGGGAATCTCCTTATCGGACCTTGTTCAGATTCCCATCACGGCTGACAATGTCAGGTTAGACTCACAGACACTGTACATTCATTCAGGATGGTAATCTGAGAGAGCCGTTTAAGTTCAATTTAAAATAAATTTAAAATGTGGTTGCAAACATTGTGCAAGTACAATTATTTTTGCAGTTCTTTATCTGTAGTACTTGTTCTGGATCTGTCTAAACCTAATGCTCTGTGGGAGACCATGGAAAGGCTGCTCGGATCAGCTCGAAGTCAGGTGGAAAAAGTGTGTGCCGTACTCCAGAAGACAGGAGAATCCAGATCAGGCAAACAACGAGTCCCACGAATCCTCCACAAGGACTATCCGGTAGAGAGGATGACACAGTTCCTCTAAATCGAGTGTGTGCATTTATGTTGCAGTGTATTACATGAAACAGTCTCTCTTCAACAGGATCGAGAGCTCATCAGCCCTTTTCCTGTTCCGCTTCTCATAATTGGCAGCAAGTTTGACATCTTTCAGGTAAAACTTCACTGCATTGAAATGTTCAGATTCAGAATAGAATACTAGCTTACTGTATAGTATACACCATGCATAGTATACACTTCTCCTTGTGAAAAGTGCAGTGTGCTCTGATTGGTCGGCTGGCCAGTGTGTAGGGATTGGTCAACCGCTTCAAGGGTGTTTCAGAAATGTCCTGCCCCTTACCAAAACCGTGAGTTTCAGCTTCTCGGGTGTAATGTTTTTTTTTTTTTTTTTGCGTATGCCTTGGGCGGAAATTATTTAAATGAGGAACATTGTGACGTGTACGTTCCCGGAGGAAAACTCAAAACTACAACAGAGGTATTTCAGGGAGTTCAAAAACAGTATTTACTGATATAGAGTATAACTCCCTTTGGATGCCGTGACGCCAAACCCCCTCATGGAAGAAAAACGGCATCGTGTTTACAACTGTGATCAGGATCATCTAAACGCTGGATTTTTAAAAGTATGTAAACTAACTTTGCGGCATATACTCTTTAAAATACGTACAGGAGTTTTACACACTGGTCTATTATTGTAGGGACATTGATGTTACATTTTCACGCCCCTAAACATGATGCAGAACAAAACAAAACAAACTGTGATTGGGTGCTTTACATGTCAGTCAGACAGTCTGTCATTTACTGTAGTTTTTATCACGCTGATGTAATTTCAAGTGTTTGTTTTTAAAATAAGTTTGTTTTTAGTTAGTTATTTGATGCGGTGGTGTGACGTCATGATTGACAGCTGTGATTGACAGGTTCTCTGAGCAAAGTAGTCACTGATAGCCTAGAAATCTAGCGCACCCTAGCGGCAGCAAAAATTATTTTGCAGCAAATGGCGCTTTTCCATTACCAGTACCAGCTCGACTCGACTCGACTCGCCTTGGCTCGCCTCGACTCGGCTCGCTTTTCGCTCCGTTTTCCATTGCAGAAAGTACCGCCACAAATAGTACCCGGTCGTCATAGCGACGCATTTCGTTCCTCGTTGCCCCATCAAGCTCTCGCTGGATCCTCTCTTCGGCAACCAAACAAAGGAATGTCTGCACCTCCTCGTTTGACCACGGCGTATTCTTCCGAGTTGCCATAATAATAGTAGTAAGTTTAGTAACTATCTCTGGCCAAACTATTTTAAAAATGGCGGGGTTATTCTGGATACTCCATCTGGCGCGTGCAATGATGACGCAGATTCTCTGTGACCAATCAGCAGTCGGCATTGTTTTCACGTCACATTTTAGTATCGGCTTAGCTCGCCTCAGCTCGCTTAGAACCTCGCCGGAGGTGGTACGAAAAAAAGTACCCGAAAGCAGGTACAGGTACAACTTTTACACAGTGGAAAACCAAACAAAGGCGAGTCGAGCCGAGCCGAGCCGAGGCGAGCTGGTACTGTGTAGTGGAAAAGCGCCAAAAGTGTGGTCTAGCAACTCTCCATAGACTTTTGAGCTGGAAAAAACAAAAACTGGTCCGGCCAATCAGATCGTGTAGAGTTGGTGGGCGGGCTTAACATAATGACGGCAGAGTTATGACGGTTCCGCGTGATTTCCATAGGTGATTTCCCTCTGCTTGAAAACAAAGAAGATGCTGCTGGCGAACAGCGGTCTTTCGAATCGGCTTTGCCCGCGACTCTGGATGACTTGGCGTTAAGAGAACGTCACTTAAGTCATTCCTAAAAAAGGAAGATGTCTTCAGAGTTTTGACGACCTGATACGGCAAAAGTTTAATATACCAACTAGCTGGTTCACTGGTGGAAAAACGCATGGGACTCACTCAGCCACAGCCGTTTGTTGCTCTGGTTGGTTGTAGCGCTATCCTATTGCGTGCCGAGGGATATTGAAAGACAACCGTTTATACTGGCCCTCGGATTGAGGTATGCCAATTGTGAGTTCCCAGACCTAACATCTTGATGTAGGTCTGGCTTGCCAGGCTAAGTCACTGAAGCACCAACAGACTTTTTTTCGAGATCTTCGGAGGACTAAGGAGATTGGAGCTTTAAATTTAATATCTACATTTCTATAATTAATAATAAATAGTGCAGGAGCGTGTGCTTGCGATTGATTCTGCGAGAGTGAGGGCGGGGGCTTGATTTCGCGGCTTTACTTCCTGTCTGCTTGTATATTCTCTTGTGTACTGTATGTTCATCTTCGCTTTCTTTTGCACAAAGCATTATTTTGCTTCGCTTCAGCTATGATAAAGAGACATTCACTCTTGCATTGCGTGTTCGTGCATTTTGGGGGCGGAGTACTCTCGCGTACCCAGACCTTCAGACCATAGACTGTAAAAAAAAGATGGACGACGCCCCTTCGCTCTCTTCCATTGGTCAGAAGTGAAGCCGCCAGTGTCCCGATATGGCGCTGACATCTTGGAACTTGAGTCTGCACAGTAGCGAATATAGAATATACAAGCAAGTGAAACAGCAAAACCAATGTAACTCACGTATGGAGCAGAAACATCTCAACCTCTGTGTCTGTTTTCAGGCCTTTCTCTTAGGTCTCTCCAGCGCTGGAAAGCTTTTCTAATATTAATGCGGGTTCTAAAGCTCTTGCCTGATCATAACCCTTCTTGTTCAAGTGACATTCCTCTGACCTTTTCTCTTTTGTAATGTCTCTCAGCCACCTCTCCTTCTACAGTCTTTCTTCAAATCCCGTCTTGCTCACTCTCTCTCCTCCTCCATTATGATTGGACACACCCGCTACTGCTGATTAGCTACAAGTGTGGTGTGGTGCTTGGTCCAATCCACTTTCAACAGGGTTTCTCAGAAATTGCTTACTGCACCTTTAACACTTCAAACCTGGATTTTTGAACAATTTTTTATTAAATATTGAGAAAAACGTCTTAAAAAAAAATTAAAAAAAAATAAATTAGAACAATAACCAAACTGTTATATTCATCAGTCTCATTCATGCTGAACTCCTGTCTCCTTCTAGGACTTTGATTCAGAGAAGAGGAAGGTGATTTGTAAGACTCTACGCTTCTTAGCCCACTTCTATGGAGCGTCATTAATCGTAAGACTGTACTCTTACTAAAGTATTTCAGAATTGATTAGTTTGGTGTAGTCTGAAAATGTTCATGCATTGCAACTTTCAGGAATTTGTAGCTTAAAAAAAAAAGAAGCAATTGAAAATCTCTGAACTGACATTACCCTTGTGTGGCATAACCCAGCTTTAACTAAAACTGTTCAGCTTTTCTGTTTGTATGGTCTGGGTTGTGTCTGAATGCTCTCTGTCTCTCCATAGTTCACCAGCAGCAAGTCAGAAGCCTCAATGTCTAAAAGCAGGAGTTTTGTTAATCAGCTGGCATTTGGGACTGAAAGACCGTATGAAGCTTTCATTATTCTCGTGCACTTTAAATTTGAGATATTCTTCATTCATGAAGTTCAGTTGTTTTTTATAAAAAAGAAATGATCTTCCATTCTGTTAGAAAGTCAATCTCTACAGACCCCAGCAAACCTCTGGCTGTTCCAGCAGGATCAGACTCCCTCAGTCAGATTGGTAAGATATACATTTTACTGTTGTTTTGGTTGAAGTCAAACAAGCCATCTTAAATCATTATATTTAATATACACTTCCGTTCATAAGTTTGGGGTCAGCAAGATTTGTTAATGTTTTTGAAAAGTCTCTTATGCTCACTTGCATTTATTTGATCAAAATAATAATATATAATAAAAAAGTAATATTGTGAAATATTTTTACAATTTAAAATAACTGTTTTCTATTTGAATATATTTTAAAATGTATTTTATTCCTGTTAAACTGACATTTCTTATTATTATCAATGTTGCTGCTTTTGTCGATACATTTTAAGGATTATTTGATGAATAGATGGTTAAAAAGAACAATTTCATTTTGAAATAGAATTTTTATAAATGTTTCCATTTGACACATTTCATTAATTAAACATGTCCTCGCCGCATAAAAGATTAGTTTCTTTAAAGGGGTCATATAATGGTACATGCACTTTTACAAGTTGATTGTACTGAAATGTGTGTTGGCAGTGCCTGTACACAACCATCATAAAATGATAAAAATCCATCCAGTGTTTTTGTTTTAATCTCCTTATATGTTTTGCCCTGCCTCAAATTGAGCCGTTCGATTTTGTGACGTCACACGCTCGGAAGCCCCTCCCACGATTGTTGATTGACAGCATCGTTTCAACACAGACCCGCCCTCGCTCATGAGCTAGCTGTCAATCATAGTCTGCGCGGACCGGCGCGGTCATTGTTGATATGCTGGAGCACTGTCTATGAGCAGAATGGCGTCTAAGCGATTGTGGTGTTCTGTTCTTGGGTGTAATAACGAACACAGCAGTCATTTTAATGTTCCTAAATCCGAACCGCTGAAGACGCAGTGGCTGAGTTTGTTTTCGAAGGGAATATTCCCCACGAGCAACGTCAATGCTTTCATGTTTGCGCGAATCATTTCTCACACCAGACTGCTTTATAAACGAGGGTCAGTATGAGCTGGTTTTGCTAAGAAGCTGCTCATGAAAAAAGGATCGGTACCAGCTATTCGTGTTCCTGCTGAACCTCTAGAACAACTGAAGTGAGTGTAACGTTTTATTAAACTTTATATTAATATTTATATTAATCTTTGCAAATCGCTAGCTGCACGCTTCACAATGAATGCATCTAAGGTTTACACTTAGGGTACATTACGGCATGTTTTCTATGTATGATGTTCTCAATATAATTCATAATCCCACGTTTATAATGAACAACGCGTTATGGTTATTGTGTTATTGTGTTACAAACGGTGTACGCACAGAACAGAGGGGCGGGGTGAGCAAAGCTCATGATCATTTAAAGTCATATGCACTGAAACGGCGTGCTGAAAACAGAGCTGTTTTTTACCAGGTAAAATAAGTGTTTTCTTACAATACTAATGAGAATTTTTAATTAAAGTATATTACAAACTTTTAATTTAGACCCTAAAGAATCATACTAGCTTGTACAAAAATGGCATTATATGACCCCTTTAAAAAAACCTGTATATTTCAACTAAAACTATATTAGCAATATTTTTTAATTGTTGAATATATAATTTATTAATGTATACATGTTATACATGCAGTTTTTATAACATCATATTAAAATGGTGAAAATCTTTAAAGATTAAATCTTGAAGTCCCCCTGTAATCAATAATTTTATCCCTTTAAACTCATCTTTGATCACTCAAATAATATATTTAAACGTTTTTTCCTTGAAAAAAAATTCTTCATGCCTTAAAATAGCTTGAATGTAACTCTACACCCTTGCCTCATTTAGTATACGCGCTTCTATGAATATGAAAATTAGCCCCGCCTCCACTTACTCACTTTAAATATGCAGTTTTACTTACGAATTTAAATAAATTTAATCTTAAAACCTAGCTAAGTTCTCATTTGCATTGATTTATTCATCCTCTAGGTCCCCCTGTTTCCTCTGAGATTGATATTGGGAGCCTACATGCCAAAAACCCCTTAGACCTTTGGAAGAAGGTTTTTGAAAAGGTTTTCCCACCCGAGGTACTTTTTGATATTGTAAACCCGCACACACACCCCCCCCACACACACTAATATCAAATGTACCCCGATCATTTTTGTTTTTCAGAACACCAAAGAACGCAAAGAGCTGAAAGATCCTGCCAAAGACCCCCAGTACAGCGAGACCCTAATAGACTCAATCAGAGCCCAGAAAGACCAGGTACAAGACACATGTTTACTGCCAGTGTAAGATCACCACAGCATTCAGATATTTGTCTTTTAGTAACCTCTAGACCTGTGTGTTTATAATCCCTCCAGTAATATACTGTACTGTACCATCAAGCGATCCTCCAGACTGATACATGCCCTGCTTTACTTTAGAGTGCTGTATATGACTGAAAGTTACCCTGCACCTCACACCCACTGCCCTTCAGTAGCCTCTCACCTGCTCTGATTTAGAATGGTATTGCTGACTAGTGATTGCAATATAAGCCAATTGCAATTAGCCAATATAAGTGACACTTATTTCAAACCCTCAACTTATAGAGTAAAACAGGTTTTTATGAACTACAACAAATCAATATATATATATATATATATAGAGACATCACTGCACAGAGAACCATTTGAACTGATTTTTTTGTAGTATTTATCATTGTAAACATGCTTCATGTAAAGTTTAGAGTATGTTAAAATATGACAAAAAAAATCCAGATCAGTGTTATTTATTTGATATTTATTCATATTTTGAAAAACCTTTTTTGAATTTTCAGTTTTTAGCAATTTTATGTGCTTTTGTAAAAAAAAAAAAAAAAAAAAATATATATATATATATATAATTTTTTTATTATTATTATTATTTACAAAAGCACATACAATTTCTAGAAATGTTTATTTTTATTTCAGGTTTAGTACTTTAACTTTAAGAAATTTTGCCTTGGTAACTAACTGAAATAATTTTTTTTTTAATTATTCTTTTTACGTTTTTTTTTTAAGTTTTTCCATCTAATATTTTTTATTTCAGATTTATTTCTATAATGAAAACAATTCATTATAGGTTCAGTCTGACTGATGAAATATCAGGCACACACATGTATTTAGTCAGAGACCACATTGCACAGTAATAAGCATCTTTTTTCTTGTCTCTTTTCTCAGGAGCTGGAGCAGTACAAGAGAGAACAAGCAAAGTCCTGGAAAAGTTTGGCTCTGGATCCATAGATTTCATTTAAAAAACCCTCAAAAGACCAGCAGGTTCAGCATTAACTGTTTCCATTATGTACATACAGTAAAGGATGATATATGACACCATTTTTTATACTGTTCATATGTGTGTGTTATAGGTATAATGCTGTATATAATGGCAATTAAATTGTCTATTTTAACCTTTTGCAGTTCACATTTCTAGATCAGTATAACTTGATTGTATTTTGAAATCGTTTTTTTTTTTTTAAATTTTCCCTAAACTATCTAAACCGAAAACACCACTCTGCTTCGGAATTAAACAAAAATGTTTATTTAATATGCTGTTCCCCCCTTTACTGAGAATATGCAAAATTATGTAAAAAGGAAAAAGTGCCATAACAATTAAATGAATTGAAAGAAACAAAAATAAATAAACCATACATTAAAAACAACAAAAAGTTGAAAAAACAACACTGATATGATACACAATGTGTAAACCACACTGGGAAAAATCTATGTACCAAGCACCTTTTCTGCCGCTCCACCCTCTCATACAGCGGCAGACTGTCACACAGGTTGTTTTCTGTCAGAGGGGCGTCCCACTGTAAAGGCATCTTGTAGTGAGTACAGTGAGATGTAGTGGTGTCATAAATCCTTTTGTGCTCTGAATCATTCCATTTCACATTACTCCTTTGATGTGCAAAATAAAACCGTAGCACAATGAATCAAGTCTTTTCATCCTTATAAACCAAAAGAGTAAGCTGAGAATACCGGGCACTTAGTGACATCATACATGTATAAAACACAAAAAAAGCCCACTGGGATGTATTCTGTCTGGTACCTATCTGCCCTATTGTCTAGGTCTACAGTTACACTATATGCCAGAAAAACTCTTCCTACAGGGCTCCTAAAGAAAGGCCAGGTACGTGGTTCAGGTTTACTCCAACATCCTCCTAAAAATACAGACAAGCAGCAGAAGGAAAGAAACGGGTAAACAGTAAACGCACACAGAGACATGGAACATTTTCATGAAAAGAAGGCTAGTAAGTATCATAGATGTCCGTCTATGCAGAATGTTAGTACACACGCGCTTACAGTCATAAGGCTGATTCAGCGATCTACAGTGCTGATCGAAGGAGCAAAACGGAGAAAAACGATTTAGCCAGGGTCGCAGTTTACCAGTCCATTAGTGCATGCCATGCATTCGTCTGCAAGTTCCCTCTTTATGTTTTTCTGATCGAAAACTACAAAATTATGCAAATCATTTCAATGGATATTTCAGCCTCCAATGATACAAATTCTTTGCATTAAAAAAACCCCAAGAACATTATTATTAAGCTAATTAAGAATAGCTTGAATGCACAAAATTCTAAAACATTTTCCAAAAATGACAGTTATCTAAATAGACAAATTTGAAATAGAAACGACTGAGTTTGCGCATACTTTGCTGTATTCAGTTTGGTAAACTGGGTTGTTGCACTGTGCAGAACACAGAAAGGTGAGCTCAGAGGAGAGCAGACAGGCACTGGAGTTGCTTTAGTCCGTTCACGAGGGATACGTCTGGCAGTTCTAAGGGCTCGGATCATGGCCACTTGCTTCCTGTCACATGCAGCTGTGTGTGTTTTGGTGCGGTTTTGCTTAGCCGAGCCAAGCAGTCAGTCCAGATACACAGGTGTGATCCTAAAGGTTACACTACAGGGTAAAACGACAAACACACCTCAAATACAGAATCCTGTAGAAGGGCACATATGAATAATTACATTATACATACACAAAAGATCCATTCAGGAACAAGCTACAGTATGTAGTTAGTCCAGTTTACTAAAAGATTATTTGCTAGCGATGGCACTCTCCTCTCCTGTGGGGTGTGTGCGGTTTAAGTTGAGTCCCATACTGGGTTTCTCTTGGCTGGGGTTGGTTATGGTTGTTTTTGGTGGTGGTTGGGGGGCTCCGTTACTGGGCAGGGGTCCCCATATGCTCTGAGAGCCAGGGCTGGTTCTGGGTTTGGGGGTGGTAGGACTGGTCAGGCCGAGGCTGGTCAGAGCGTCAAGGGTTCCATCAGGGTCCACCATGACATTTATTACTGTAGGGATAGAGAAACACATCAGAAAGTGTGAATGTTTGTGTACTTTGTTCATTATGAGTTGACTGATGTAATAGTAAGAAGTTATTTAAATATATATACACAATGAAAAAATAATAATACAGCACTTCTTAGATGATTAAAGCAAGGTAAATTTAGCTCCATTGTGCAGCTGTTGGACGTAATGTAGACATGTAAGAAGAAGCTAAGTGTAAGTCTTACCTTGAAGCTGTTTTTCTACCCTCTTCAGCTCTGTTAGTATAGATGAAATGTCCTAAATGGCACAAAGAATAATTAGAAAAAGTACAGATCAACATCAATTACTGTAAGACATTCAGCATTAATGAACTTACCTTGTTTGTAGTTTTGGGAAGCGGAACTTCATTGTCCAAACAGAGTTTACTCTCAAAATCATCCCACTTCCTGTCCTTGTCTTTGAACAATATCCTTTAAAATAGCGAGTAAGAACCAACATTAAAAAATGTATTTTAAATGTTACAACAGGTTAACACACACACACACACACACACACACACACACACATATATATATATATATCAAACCTTTTATTGAAGTAAAAGCATTGAAAGTGGGGGGAAATCACATTATGAAATAAATGTTTTTCTCCAAAACACATTGGGAAAAATTATTTGCCCCCTTTTATTAAATACTTTTTGCAACCTCCTTTTTCCAAGATAACAGCTCTGAGTCTTCTCCTATAATGCCTGATGAGTTTAGAGAACACCTGACAAGAGATCAGAGAGCATTCCTCCATACAGAATCTCTCCAGATCCTTCAGATTCCCAGATCCATCTTAAGTGTTTGCAGTGTATGGTTTCATCTGACCATAGAACCTGTCCCGTTTGAAGTTCCAGTAGTGTCAGTTACTTTTCAAACGTTCTATAGACAGATGAAACAAAACAAAAAAAGAGCTTTTTGGCAGCAAACACTTCATATGGGTTTGGTTCATACAGGGATACAAAAAGTACCCCATGTGTAAAATGAAATACTCTGCTGTGTCTTTAATGCTGTGAGCCTAATTTTCTGCCAGAGGTCCTGGACATCTTGTTCAGATACATGGCATCATGGATTCGATCAAATACCAACAGATAAAAAATCAACCTCTGACAATCTTATAACGGGCCATGTTTGGATCTTCCAACAGGACAACAATGTGTCACTGAGCACAAAACCAAACATCTGCAATGGGCATCCCAGTCCCTGACCTGAACCCTATAGAATGAGTGGGCTGAACTGAAGAGAAGAAGCGCCAACATGGATCTGGGAATCTAAAGGATCTGGAGAGATTCTGTGTGGAGGAATGGTCTTTGTGTTCTCCAAACTCATCAGGCATTATAGGAGAAAACTCAGAGCTGTTATCTTGGAAAAAGGAGGTTGCAAAAAGTATTTAATAAAAGGGGGCAAATAATTGTTCCCAACGTGTTTTGGAGAAAAACGTTTCATTCATAATGTTATTTTCCTCCCACTTTCAATTATTTTACTTCAATAAAAGGTTAGATTTTTGCATTAAAAAAAATATATATATATCAAAAGGATAAACGATGCAGATTTATTTTTTACAGCCATTTTTGATCATATTTACCAACGGGGCAAATAATTCTGACCAGTACTGTATATACACATACATATAGTTTGATCATGAAACTATAAGGCACAGGCTAATAGAACTTTACATGCAATCTGCAGGCAATCACATCATTGTGGCACAAGCTGATTGGCCTCTGCTGATGAGCTTTCTCAACTTTTAAATTGTCATAACAAGTCTAAATATACATTGCCATATTCAATAACATTCCTTAAACTAATTAGAGAGTTGTCATGATTTTTCAAAAAAAAAAAAAAAAAAGAATACTTAATTTAGTATGGCAGGTTTAATGTAGGATTGTTAAGTTTGATTTCTGTAACATTTTCAGCACTTATAGAATGACCCTGGTTTGATGAGCAACACTGTACACATTTCATTCCATGACTGACCTGATTTTGCCGGCAGTTTTATCTACAGACTGTCGGATTTTGGAAGACAGTTGGGAAACCGACGTCAGCAATAAACTGTCTAGCACCGCCTACAAAAGAACCAGCAGGACCTTGTCAATCAATAAGTTACCAAACAAACAACATCCAGTCAATAAAACACAGTGGCAATTCATCTTAATGAGACCATATCAGTTTTCATATCACCACTCAGTACACACCAGGTTATACGGAACAAGATGTTCTCAAGTGGAGCCACAAACACACACTTAGAAGAGTGCTGAATCTTTCATCAAACGTATTCAATCATATTCAAGATTAGGTACTAGTATTTAAGTTAAGAGGTTCATTCATACCGGTCTCACCTCATCCCGGTTCCAGGTACGTCTGCGCAAGGCCGCCTGAGGGTCCAGGCTGTCCGGGGCCCGGGGACGAAGCTCCACTGGTTTGCCATTGATCTCTGAGGCTTTGGTGTGAACTACAGGGGGAATCTTCCTGAAGTTTAGACTTTCGTCAAAAACTCTCTCTACCAGCTGAAGACAAGGAGAAATAACGACAAACTTGTTAAGAACGAGCACCTTGGCAAAGCGAATATGGTTCTTGAAACTGGAAGTTTAATGAAAGGCAGTGAGTTGTACCTCCTCCCTGGTGTCGATGGCGGAGCCCGGTGTGGTGGCGGCTGTGCTGACGGTGGTGCTGGGTGCGGTGCCGGAGGAACTGACCGAGTCGATTTCGCCTGCCACGTCATGGATCTCCCGTGCCAGGATAGCCAGGTCCTTGGCGAGGTCCTGACTGATCCTGCGCACACAGGGAAATAACCTGTAAACTTTCAGATGGGTGTCTAGAAACTGGGGGGTGCACAAATACAGACACATCATGCAAATGACACGTACAAACTCACATTAGGTAGTCCCTACTCAATTCATGCATATGCAATCGCATTCCAAATTAATGTACTGTATGAATGACATGCAACATTTATAAACATATAATTATTATTAACATGACATACTACTACCGTTCAAAAGTGTGGGGTCATTACCATTTTTAAAAAGAAAATAATACTTTTGAGCAAGGACGCATTAAATTGATCAAAAGCGACAGTAAAGACATTTATCATGTTAATATTAATATTAATAAATGCTGTTCTAAACACAAATGCTGACATTTATAATGTCAAAAAACTTTCTATCATCCATTCATCACAGTTTCTACAAAAATATTAAGCAGAAGGATCATGTGACACTGAAGACTGGACTAATGATGCTAAAAATTCAGCTTTGTTATTACAGGGATAAATTACATTTATTTAATATTATATATTTATATATTAAATTACGATTTTAAATTGTAATAATTTCACAATTTTACTGTTTTTACTGTATTTTAGCTTAAATAAATGCAGCCTTGGTGAGAATGAGAGACATTCATTTATTTTTTTATAAAAAACATTAAAAAATCGTACCGACCCGAAACTTTTGAATGGTAGTGTATATAATATAACATGCTAAACACATCAAGGATAGCTCAATACGTCTGACTCACACATTTGTTGTTTATACGTTTTGATAATTCTCATGGTGTTCTAATGTTGAAAGAGGTTTTAGAATAACCATAAGGTGGCAGTATTGCTACATGAACAGATCACAAATTTGACTGATAAGGCATACAGTAGCCTATATGGATTGTTAAAGATGCAGTGTCATTTTTGTTAAACAAAAATGTAAAATTCACTCAGTATCTCTTTCCTCATTAACAACACATAGGAACTAATTTTAGACATAGAACAGTTTGAATGGTGCTTTTGAAAAATGTTTAAGACCCCGGTCATATTAGTAGCCTAATAAAAGCTGTTTAAGTGGGACACCTCATGCTGAGATCATATGATCTCATATTGCTTTATTTTGCTAACTCAAATTGACCATGGCTGACAGCAAACAGTGCATTTCTACAAAGGAATTGGTAATTGAAAACTTTTGGAGTTTGAGAGAGAGAGAGAGAGCGAGAGAGCATGTGATCAGGTTTTATTAGTGTATGCCCTGCAGCAGTGGATTTGAAGACAGTCTCTCTTGTTGCAGTTCCAGCTGTGACTAATGCTATATGAGGATATCTCCTGAGATAACAGACTATGTGCCCGCACGTAACACAACAGTGACTGCCCACTTTTTCAGCGGCCTTGGTTCTCAGTGTATATTACCCATTCATTTCCCACACAGATTTGAAAAGATTCTTCAGTAAATACATTTTAAACCTTGAACCAAACAAACCAGTTCCGAAGTAAAAAAGTGAAAGTCAGTCCCAGCCATTGCTGCTTTCTTACAGGAGCACCCTAATGAACCAGGGAAATTAATAATTAAAAAAATATAAATGGAAATAGGTTTTTATATAAATAATAATAATAATTATAATGTTGTGTAGTCTATAATAGAAGCAATTATACTCAGTGAGAGATTTATTCATGAGGGAATAATTATCTCAGAATATTATTGGAGGCTTACACACATTACATACAGTTAGCATTAACTGTGCATTAATTTGAATGGTGACAGCATTATACGGGTGGCTTGATGCAGTACATGACATGTAGATAACTTAAAAAATAATTATGCGACGTAAAAAATGCTGTCTGCTGTGCCATTCGAAATATGTTATTTACCCTTAAGAAAGAAGCTTTATCTGCTTCACATGTAAAATTAAATGAATTGCTCATTACATTAGGCTACTCTTGACAAAGCCTGTACAAATACTAGAAATCGTGAAAAAAAGAAATACGTGGGAATCGTGTAAAAAACATTTAGACATTTCATTTATCTATTAGAATTTGTCATTTCCTGTCTCGTCGTTTCCTTTTTTTAATTATATGATGTCATTACATTGCTGTCTTGACTCCAGCCAAGAGAAGGTTTGAAGAAATCGTGATTAATTATGATCAATTATCACAATTAGAAGATCTGGCATCCGTCAAATCATCTCAGATGTATTAAGCGAGGTGTGAAGAACGGACACCTGGACCCAGTGCTTCATTTGTAAACGAATAATTGCCGCTGTTACAAGCCGCTGTGACCGACACTGACCATACAACTTCAGGTTTCCCGGAACATACAATGACGTCACTAGACGGTGATGGCACAACTATAAGAGCATGTCTCTTACTACATATAGCTACATTGAGACCAAATATTATTTAGTTGATCAGTGACATTCTCTCTCACCTCTGACATCGATTTCTGATTCTGACTGATCTAACTCCTGTTGCTCGTGTCTCCCGCTATCCTGATTCACGAGTTCACACTTACAAATAAGTCAGATAGAATAAATGGCATGTGTATTTGCCGTGCTGTCCGAGGAGAGGGCCCTGGGCTCGGGATTTGGCCCGGACCCAGAGTGCTCCCCCCTGTATTCCTGACTGTGGTAGAACAAGCCAAAAGTGAGGAGTCAGGGTGGTGGAGGGATCGAGGAATGTAGGTTAGTCGACTGAGTGTATATATATAGGCTTCCTCTCATGCTGATAGGATAGACGTGGTAATTGTTGATGACGAATTGATCAGATTGATTATGTGAACGTGCTCCTCCCGAACTTTGTTTAATGAAACATCATTTAGAATTAGCAGTTTCACCTTCGGGATCTCTTTTGATCAGAAACACCATCAGCTTTACTCGTGAATATGGAAAATGGCGATATTAACTTGTTTTTCCTGAGAATTGGATCGTGAATCACACTATCACCATGTAATGTGCTTGTAATGCCGGAGATGACTACATCACATGATTTTTCTGTCAAGTAACCGTGGGGCATTTAAGAAAAACACTTTTTTAGACTTTTTTAGTTAGTTTGTTTGTATGACAAGGACAGAGAGTTGATAAGTACCTGGCGATCTCCTCGCTGTGAGCCGTCCAGTCTCGTATGTACTCCTCCTGTTCTTTCATCCTGTTCTTGAGGAGGAGACCCCCGGGGCTGGTCGTGACCGGAGCGGGAACACCCAGCCTGCTAGTGCGGAGGGTGGTGCCCGGCCGCAGGCGAACGTGTTTGGGGGAGTTCCGGTTGGAGCCAAACTCATCCTCAGAGGTAGAGGCATATTCAGGAGGCAGCCGTCTCCACCGGTTATTGGCTGAAAGGAGAGAGAGGTATGACTGAAATGTTTGCAGAAATACAATTAATAGTCAGCAATAAAGTTCTATATGAATTGGAGGTTGGTTAGAGGTGTGCACATTTCAAAAAGCCCTCAAAAACATTTAAGAGCAGTCAATGTATCAGTATTTTTGTCAGTATTACAAACACAGTCTCCAAACGTCTTGCATCACTATTACATGATGCAATGATCTTCTTCCCCACTGGCTCAAGGTTTATTAACATGGCAACTAAAACATTCTGTTATAATTATATTCAATTATCATTGTACAACAATCTTCTTGTTGTTGTTGTTGTTTCAATGCAAAGTTTGTATTTGTACTTTATTATACACTAATGATTCCCATTAAAACCTTGTTTCAAATGGGGATGGAGCAAAGATAGTTGTATTTAACACAATTATGTGTAAAGAGTTTAAAACAAACCACTAAGCACAAAAGAGGCTTAATATTGCAGTTACCCCAGCAAATATCAAACTTGTTAAAAGCGAACAGAAAAGCTCTTCTGACCAACTATCTCTAAAATATGACACTAGCAAGTGATGAAAAAGACATTTGAGTTGATTTTTTAGTGGTTAAAGATCTGGACTGGTAATTCAAGTGTCCTTCATGAAGTCGCTTGCATCTGCGATGAATGTTTTCTTTGAGCCTGTGAAGCTGTTTGCTGTCATGTTGTTTTACTTTGTGCCACCAGGGGGAATGTGTTTAACATCCGCTGACCCTCATTTCTTATTGCTCAGTGCTTGCATCAGCATAAGAGAAAACTTTCCTCTGATTTTGACTGTGTGGCAGTAAAGGACAAACATCTAAGAAGTCATCATTTCAATATTAACATAATTCATTAATTTAGTTTCATAATTTAGTTTCATAAATTAAGTTTCCTCAGAGCACTGAATCTACAAATATACTCTTAAGAACTTCAATATTAGATCTAAATGCGTCTCTCTCTAAATGTTTATTTAAAGGGAAGGCAAATGAGCTGAGCTCCTTTTCATCACTGCTGTTTGATAAAAAAAAGCATAAATAAATAAAAATGAGATGACACATTGACTAGAATGGCATTTAAAAGCATGCTGAGATTCAGTCTCTACTGTTTTCATTGTATTAAAACCCAACACACACACACACACACACACACACACACACACACACACACACACACACACACACACACACACACACACACACACACACACACACACACACACACACACACAGCCCAGAGATGGTACAGTACCCATGGGCTCCTCCTCTGCGAGAACACTTTCAGGCTCAAGTTGAGTTTCTGTGTAAAATGGGATCTTTATAAATATCACAAGCATGCAGAGACAGACAATTACAGACACACATTACTTATGATACCGATCCAATCCACATAAAACATCACAAAACTGCACTGCTAAATTCTGCTGAATGCTAAACATCTTATTTTAAGAAATTGCCGTTTTTAATACAACCGTCATTTGAATGATTTTATGCATGAAATGGAAATTCACCCTATCTATTTACAAAATGCATGTTATTGATCTTATCTCCGCCCCTTTCTTACAATATATACCTCAAACTCGCATTCAGATCTGCATCCAACCAACTCTGCTCATTTAAAAGCTCGAGCTACTTTTCAGATGGATTCCCATTGGCTGTCAATGTTTTTATTGTTCATCTGTGTCTGTTGTGTTGTGGAATTTGCTTTTTTCTTAAAGTCCACCTGTAGTCAATAATTTTATTCCTTAAAACTCATATTTGATATTTGAATGACATATTAAAGCGTTTTTTCCTTGACATTTTTTTTCATGCCTTAAAATAGCTTGAATGTAACTCTACACCCTTGCCTCATTTAGGATGCGCGGTTTATGAATATGCAAATTAGCCCCGCCTCCACTCACATTAGAAAATACTCAACAAAGGTGCCGACTTATGAATTTGGACATGGCTTGTCTTAAACTATATTAAAAACACCACATAGACATATAAACAACATTAAAATCTGGATTTTTACCACAGCGGGACTTTAAATTTAGAAACTTTAAACTTATAGTTATCATTATGGTTATAGTCTTTGGTGTGAAGGGGCCTTTGCTATTACTGTTTTTTAGGAACTATTTTTAATTTGACAAAATAAAAATCACGCAGCATGCTATTAACATGCTAATTAAAGCCCTGCTGCTAAAAACAAACAAATATATAAAAAAAATCTGGATCTCTAAACTAGTCAACCTCACTAACGGAGTAGTCAGTTGTCAAACTTCCATCTCTACTGCATACTCCGTACTTATCTGAAATGAAAAGAAGATATGGCATCCAAACGAATACCGTACTTCAACTGGCTTCTGCTAGCAGGAGCAACTAACAATTAGCAAAGGTTTTTGTAGCATTTCCAATCATGCAGAGCTACTGTACATGAGTCATACTACTATTACATTCCTTCTCACCTGATGGGGTGCTGTTGACAGGTGCTGTCTTCGGCTTGAGGTCCGTTAGCTTGGAGACACTATTAGCCCTCATGCGTGCAGTTAGCTTGCTGTCCGCTGCTTGTTGATTTGAGCTTCTCAGCCCCAGACGAAGCGCCGTCTCTGCCGACACACGTGATGCTGCGGTCCGACCGACCGTGGCCTCCGAATCGCTCCGTGCTGAGAACGAGCCGAGTCTGGTGCGTCGAGGCTGCGCCAGCATGTCAATGCGTGACTGTGTCTTTCTTCCCGATGGTGGTTTAGAAGTGGAACTAGTGGTGGACACTTCAGATGCCACTGAAACCCTGTCTGCATCCGCCAGGTCTGTGTCCGACGTGTCTCCAAGCCGAGCCCTGCGCAACAGAGATGCCCGCGTGGGACGGGGCTGCGGAAGACCAGCCTGTTTCACAAGGGCCGCTGTGCTAGCTTGCACCGTCTTGCTGGGCTTTGCGGACCTTGCGGATTTGCTGGTATCAAGCTTGGACTGCAAGAGGTCATCGGTGGAGGTGAAGTAACCTTTGGTGAGTGAGCGGCTGGAATACATCTCCTGGTCCGAGGAAAGGATGTCTGAGATGGCTAGCGAGGACGTCTGGTCGTCATCCGTGAGATCTTGGGATGGTTGGCGGCCACGGGAGGCTGTCTGTACTGAGCGGCGAGAATCTGAGCGGCTTTCTGTGGTCTTGGTCTTGGTCTTCCTCTCCAGGCGCTCTCTCGCGCTGGTCGTGGTTTTTGACGTGGCGCTCGCATTGCTCTTTTCTCTATAAAGGCTGCTGAGGGATCGTCGCTTCTGAACCGCCTTACGATCGGCCTCGGCTGCCGCCTGGCTAACCGTGCTGGCCGTGTCGATGTCAGACTCTGGAGATAAAGGGCAGGCTGCGGGGTCCAACTTCTTCTCATCCCGGAGTTTAGCCTCAAGGAATGCCATGACAGCTTCAGTGTCTTTGAGAAGAGTTGCCGTGTCCATGCTGCCCACCGAGTCGCTTCGCTCCCTCCCGCCGTTCTGTCGGTTGATGTGTGGAATCAGTTCTATGGGGACGTTACCGCTGGGCTTCTCAATGGTAAAACTACCCTGCCTCACCAGCGCTTTCCCAGACCTCTCGCTGTCACTTCCTTTACTCTTGTCCTCAGAACGCCGCCTGCGACTCTCCTCTGGCGTTCTCCTCTCGCCACTTCCCAGGGGGCGCGCAGAAGACTGTTTTCCAGCCTTCCCGTCCTGCTGGATGCTCTTGGAATGGCTAGACTCAATGTTCTTGTTGTCCGGAGTTTTGAGGCACTCGCCATCACCTTTATGGTCACTGTGGCTTTCTTTTTCCTGGGGTTCTGTGTCCTGCTTCTCACCGATCTCAGAACGCTTGATCTTCTCCTCAGTTGGAAGCTGCGGAAGAGTCCTTCTTTTGCGCTCAGCTTGGCTGGAAGTGGTGGAACCGGTGCTCTTGATAGAGATGCCAGCCTCAAAAGCATCACCATCTGAAGTGGGAAAAAGAAAATACAAATTATAGCACTTCAAACATATCCACTACTGTTCAAAAGTAAGGGGCCTGTAAGATTTTTTTATTTATACTTTTATTCAGCAAGGATACATTAAATTGATCAAAATTGACAGTAAAGACATGTATAATGTAATGTTACAAAATATTTTATCTAAAAAAAATCCGGTTAGTTTTTATCAATTTATCAATAAATACTGAAAAAAATGTATCATGGTTTCCCAAAAAATATTAAGCAACACAGCTGTTTTTAACACTGATAACAAAAATGCTTTTGAGCAAATCAGCATATTAGAATGATTTCTAAATGATCACGTGACACTTAAGACTGGAGTAATGGCTCCTTAAAATTCAGTAATACATTTTTTCTTAACCTGTCATGGGCCCATTTGCCATTGCATGTTTAAAACAATAATATCTTAGTAAAAACCTAAAGTAATATTGCCAAACTATATATCATTTGAAAGCTTAAAATCTCTAGTTTTCATATTTGGTGGCTGTTATCTAAAATAAATTACAGAGGAGCAGAAATTTATCAATTTGCAAAAAGAATATTTCATATTCATTTAGGCCTTTATTTTGAAATAACAATAAACATGAAAAATCATGAAAGATTGGTAGAAACCTCAGTTTGTTTTCATGCCATGAGTTCAAAAGATAACACCAATTCAATTTTATTAGAAAAAAGGTCTGAAAATGTTTTAAATATAAAGAAAAATGTATGGATTCTCGATTTGTGATGCGCTGCGAGCTATAACGCTATAACGTAGTCTTTATGCATTTATTAGAGGTTTAATTCAAATCAAATACTGCCAAACCACCCATACTACTTCTGAATAGGATGTCTACTTCATAAATTGTATGAAAATTATGCAAATACATGGTTCAGATCACTCAAAACATATGAAAATGGAGGCGCCCTTATATGGGCAGTAATGGAGTCTGGTGTTCACCTAGTGAAAAAGTTGGGTACTGTGCCTGAATAAAATCTTACTGAAAGCTCATTTTTTGAGATATCAACCTAAAATTTGGAATACAACTTCTTCAGATTTTTGTCTTT